CATTTCATTTTAAATTCAGTTAGTATCAAGTGGTACATGGTATTCGTATTTTGGGTTGCGTAAAAATAATTTTCAGAAATAATTTTCTCGTGACTAACCCTGTATATGTATTTTTACACCCACATATGGTACAACTGAATGTTTCTTCAGTACAATACTAGTCACATAATAATAATTAAAAAATAAGTTTTTAGTTGCATAAGTACCTACATTTCTTAGATTTCCCGGTAACACAAAATTATTCTTGACGCTCTAACAAAAGTTTTTGCAATATATATTTACAATACACGTAAACCTTTCTCAAACCCTGTAAAAGATCCGTTGCAATTTACAAGGGATTAAAATAAGTATTATATCCGTCCAGTGGAATTTACATTCGCTGCATATGGATACTCTAGATGTACTATTAGTTCATAAATTTTATTGTTTGGTGATATGTATAAAGACAAGAATAGACAATAGAGGCAATTCTGTATCAAAATGTGCTAAAATTTAAAGGTTGTTAAAAATATGATTTTTTAAATAACTGTAATCTAGTTAAGAACAATAAACACTTGTTTTTATGTTGAGTACTTATTATAATGAAGCTAGTTCCTATAATATAATAGGTAAAATAAGCAACGAGATAAATAGAAACAATCTCTTAAAAAAAAATAACCAAAATGACAATTTATTAATAAAAAATCTTATGTAACAAGGTGTTTACGCTCGTATTTTTTAATTTTTAAAGTGCAACTACAAACTTCGTCACTTATCTATATTCAAATTGTTTTTAATTCGATATTTACACCTTACCTGGTTGCTAAATTTATTGCAACTTAAAATTCAGAATACAAAATATTTAGTTTTAATAAAAGAAAATACTTCCCGATGAATTTTACCTTGCGATCAATTGACGCTGCGATAAATTTACGTACGATCTATTGTCGCTGCGATCAATTTACGTGCGATCAATTGTCGCTGCGATCAATTGTCGCCGCGATCAATTGTCGCGTGCGACCAATTGTGCTGCGACCAGTTGCTTGCGATCAATTGTCGCGCGATCAATTGTTTGCGACCAGTTGTCGTAGAATCGAAAATTATGAATGGCTGACGGGGAGTGAGTCAAAAAACAAACTATTTTGTTGGTATTGTTTAATTTTTGGATATGATGTTGACAATAAATTCAAAAAAACTTCAGAAAAAGAGTTTTGCCTCTGGTCCTCTGGTACGATTGACATATTGAGTTACCGTGCTCTTTTTCCTAATTTCTCAACCCTGCTCCTGATGATGCTACTTACGAAAATGTGGAAGCCTGCGAAATTATTTCTGTCTTTAATTTTAATCATATACCATCCACATCAGCATATCTTAAACGCAGTTTTTCAGCTTTAAAGCGAATTAAAAACTTTACTAGAAACTCCATTAATCAAAATCGATTATCCAATTTTTTTGAGCAATAGAAAAAGAAAAAAACAAACTTAACGGAAGATCAAAAGTTCTAGAATCAAGTAATTGACCACTTTGCGAATACAAAACAGAGACACATTGAACTGGTTTATAAAAATTTCTAATTTACTTTTTTAATTTTGTTTTTTACTAATAAATAGTTGTTGACGTTTCATGTTATATTTTTTGTTAAAATGTGTTACTTTATAATTTGAATGTTATTTTCATTTTTATTTGAGTTTATTGTCGTTATATATGCTTTACTTTATACCTATTTGAAGAATATTTTTTATTTTGTTTTAGAAGAAAAGTTGCTTTTTTTCGTATTAATGATATTCATTATTTTTACATTTAATACATCCCATACTTCTATTACTAACAAACCTATCCTTATTGCAGTCCCGGAAGACCTCAGACCTTCGCGTAGTCCTTGCTGAACAACATTTATAATTTGCAATAGACAATTTTGCCAATTATACTACTATATGAATTATATAGTACTAGAACTATATAGGACTATATGAATTAACACCATACAGGTAGCAAATTATAGATAATGACTAACTTTAGGTCCCTGTTTCTTGTATTCTGTCTTAAAACTTTGGGTCACTCATTGCTGGCCGACCCAACCAAAATAGTCACGGGCCGCCACTGCAATTAAAGTAACCTCATTTGAGATACACCTGTTAAAACTTTTATGACTTAAGCGACTTAAGCTAAACCACCCTTATAAGTCAAAGTGGCTATTGTATTATTTAACTCAGTTGACAGCTACATTATGCCAACAATGGACAGTAATAATCTTGCGGTTCGGGTCCACAAAGCTTACAATAGCCATTTTGACTTATAAGGGTGGTTTGGCTTAAGCCGCTTAAGTCATAAAAGTTTTAACAGGTGTATCTCAAATGAGGTTAAAGTTTGTCTAGAATTATAAGAATTTTATGGACTCCCAAAGTTAATTCGTTTTATAGCCCTGTTGTCAATTTTATTGTACAGCTGAAGAGCGGGGCGAACACAGGTACAGAAAACATCGGCTTTCTCCTGACAGGCTCTCTACCTGTACAATAGAATTGACGCCTGGGCTGTAAAACGAATTAAAGTTGGGAGTCCATAAAATTCTTATAATTCTGGACAAACTGTAAAGATTGTCCAGAATTATATGAATTTTATGGACTCCCAAAGTTAATGTGGTTTACAGCCTTGTTGTCAGTTTTATTGTTTAGCTGAAGAGCGAGGCGAACTCAGGTACAGAAAAGATCGGCTATCCGCTGACAGGCTCTTTACCTGTACAATAGAATTGACGCCTGAGCTGTGAAACACATTAACGTTGGGAGTCCATAAAATTCTTATAATTCTGGACAAACTTTACTTCCGTTAGACCAACATAAAGGCAAAAAAAGTTTACATTTTTGTTTAAAAAGTACTGCCAACAGACCGCGTCATTTCTCATCACACGGTAGAAACTTTTACATGATACAGATGACAGAACTGATAACTGTTATTTGTCAGCAAGACGTTTGAAATTTCTACTTTTGTTTATATCAACGCAAGCACAATCGAAAAATCGACTTAAATTTTAAATACCGAACAAAATGTATTAATGATTAAAATTGGAAATAGATGCATTATTACTTGAACAATTGTTACAGCTCATTCAACAACAAAGGATGAGCCTTGACTAAGTGAATTTCATGAAATCTCCTAGCAAGTAATTTTATCTGTACAAACTTAGACTATTAAATTGTGTTAGAACCAGTTAACGATCAAAATCCTAACCTGAACTATAACTTTACAAACAATAAAACAAATTTACACCACGTATTACCGTCGGTCGGAAATCCGCATATTTCCGATTAGAAAACCGCAAGAATTAGATACTCGTGTTGGGGAAACTGTGGCGTCGTCGTCGTTACGATTAATTGTCGTTAAACAAAGGTTCTCCTTTTTTTATTAAGACCCACCACTGACCCGGAAATGACCGGCATTCAGGCAAGACTTCTATCATTACGGGTACTAAGACCAAGTAATGATATGCATTGATTAGATTAACAGAACAACTTTCGAGATTCTAGAATTACAGCATACAAATTAGTCTGCTATTATTCTCTAATCTCACGCCATCCCCATTATTACTATTATTATTAATATTATTATTATTGTTGACCACCCCTACAGATAAACCAATTATTAGGGTGGTATATTAGGGCTAACTTAGATTGTTGGAAATGCATAATTAAATAGTTAAAAATTAGGAGACTGTTATAGATGTGCATTTTTGATCTGGCGTAAACTACTATTGAAGATATCAAATTTATTCCGATAATTATTATAAATTCTGCACATAGTTGTAATGGGCGAGAACACATGGACATTAGTTCTAGAAATTTCAGTATAAAAACATAAAGGGTTTCTAATGTTTGACCGGGGAACTAGAAAGCATAATTTTTCAACTAAAGCACTTGAATTTACAACACCATTCACCAATTTAAAAAGAAAACAGAGAGACAAAGTTTCTCTCCTCTTTTCCAAGCTTTGAATGGAAAAGAGTACCAAAAGCTCATTTTGAGGAAAACCTCTACAAGGGTAATAGCCAAATGATTTGAAATGGAGGAATTTTAAAAATTTCCTTTGTAACTTTTCTAATTTGAGACAATGAACATCGTACCCTGGGGACCAAATAACACAACCATACTCTAGTTTTGATCTAACAAACGAAGTATACAAACTAAGGAGAGTACTGTTAAGTTGAAAGCTTTTGCAATTACGAATGATAAATCCTAACGCCCTAATTGATGAGGAAAATATCTCATCATAATGATTAATGAAGGATAATTTTTGATCAAATATAATGCCTAAATCTCTCACAGTGGAAACACGTTTCAAAATGAAGCCGCCAATTTTATAGTCATATATACTATTGATATGCTTTAGAGAATATGTCATTACACTACATTTAGGAAGATTCAGCGACAACCCTTTTACATTGCATGCTTGTTCTAATTTATAAAGATCAGCTTGAAGGAGAAGGTGGTCAGAAAATGTTGTTATTTTTCTAAAGATTTTTAGGTCGTCAGCATATAGAAGACACTCAGAGCTAAAGCCGATACTAATGTCATTAATAAACAAAATAAAGAACAGAGGTCCAAGAATGGACCCTTGCGGTACACCAGAAGTAACATGTACCTCAGTTGACTGAAAACCGCCAATGGTAACAACCTGCGTCCTGCCAATTAAATAAGAACTAAAAAGTTTAATTAGGAAATCTGACATACCAAAACTATCCAACTTGGCAATCAATTTAGAGTGGTCTAATCTGTCAAATGCTTTAGAGAAATCAGTGTATATACAATCCACCGAACATTTAACTACCAAACCAACTATACTTAACCTGGTTTACTCACCACGTAGTTTCACACACAACAAACAAACCACAAAATGCTACGCCGAATTGATGGAAAAATTCCAAGGCTAACTGTTGATCATACTTACCTCTTACATTTTTGCATAATAAGCTGTAAGCTTGTGAAAATACAGAAGACGCAAATTTTGGAAAGAAAAAAATGGCTTAATGATTTCATATTAAAATGCATGTATTGTTTTTTAAGTAAAAATTACATATTAAATATGCTCAAATGACATTTATCTAACCTTAAAACTGTTAAAAATATAATCACTGACGCTGAACCGGCATTAGTTCAAAATTATATTTTGTAACTACAGGCTCACAATTCGTCACAATTCTGTCACGCAATTTTCGTAGTCTACCTTCATTTCCTAATTCCAAATCTTCTACCTCCGTCTTGGTCACTTTACATAATTCGTAGATTTGTTTATAAGTTTCCTGCAGATTCTTCTTTTCTAAATTATATTTCGCCCGTTCACAATAGTCCAACACGTACTCCTTCAAAAACGCGAACTTAACAAAACTATCATCTTCTAACTTATTCTCTTCCGCGTCCTTCAGCGCATTTTTTACTTCCTTGTCGCTTTGATGGCCTCTAGCATACGTAATTGTTAAATTTTTAACATTATTGCGAAGTTTTTCTTTGGCTGTAACTTTCAAAATCCCATTCGCGTCAATACTCATCGTAAAGGAGGCTTCACACTTTCCCGGCGGTGCAGGTGTTATGTCACTTATGGTAACTTTTCCAAGATGACGGTTCTTCTTCGCGTCCATTCTCTCACCCTCGTATATATCAAAGCACATAGATTTCTGCTGATTGTCCACGGTGACTCGAGTTAAGGTTTTACTAACCGGGATCGGCGTGTTCCTCTCGATGCAGAAAGTCATGAGATCAACAAAATTACTGATCCCTAAGGATAAAGGTGTGACATCTGTTATTTTGAAAGCATGAATTTGTTGATCCGTATTTGTTGAAAACATGGCTGCCTGAAGAGCAGCACCTTCAGCCACACACTCATCAGGATTCACAATCTTGTTTGGTTTTTTGCCAAAATAGGAAGAAATCATCTGTTGAATTTTTGGAATACGTGTTGACCCTCCTGACAGTATGATCTCTTTGATATCACCTAGCGCAATGTTGCAACTCTTGAGACAATTGTCGATGATGTCGATAGTCCGCTGGAATAAGTCATGTCCCATTTCTTCAAATTGGTCTCTAGTTAATTCTATCTCAACTATGGGAACATCTTTAACGAACCCGCTAAGCACAATGGTAGTTTCTTCTGTCATTGACAAAGTTTTCTTTGCTTCTTCACACTCGTTGTGAAGTCTTCTCATTGCGCGGTGGTCATTTCTCGGGTTGTACTTGTAACTACTGTGAAGGTAGTCGCAAACGTAATCTACGATAAGATTATCGAAGTCGTGACCACCCAAGTGGGTGTCCCCGTCAACTCCTATGATGTCAATATTGTTACCATTTCTTTTCAAAATAGCAACGTCGAAAGTACCACCGCCCAAATCATACACCACAGAAATATTCTCTTCTTTGTCGTGTTCTAAATAGTAACTCAAAGCAGCAGCTGTTGGCTCGTTCAGAAGTTTCAAAACCGTAAACCCCGCTTTATTAGCTGCCGATAAAGTAGCTTCCCTCTGGCTAATATTAAAGTATGCTGGTACAGTGATGACTGCTTTGTCGACAGGTGTTCCAATTTTAGATTCAATGTCCGCTTTTACTTTGGAGAGGATAGCTGTACACAGATCTACAGGGGTCTTCGTAAAAGTATCATTCTTTTGGAGAATTGAGAGTACGGGATCATTGCTCTGACTGACGATCTTGAAGGGAAAATACTGTAAATTGTTCTGCACATATGGATCGTCGAATTTTCTGCCCAACAGGCGCTTGATTTCTGCAAGTTTTAGGTTAGTAGTGATCACGAATGAAAGTGTTTTCTTACCACAAATTCCGTACTCGGGTTTTGCCTCGGCCATTTTTCGAGCGTACTGACCAACAATGATTTTGCTCTTTTCCGTAACAAAAATGTAAGATGGCGTGACTCTTCCTCCTTCTTCATTTTCCAGAATTTTTACCCGACCGTTGAGGTAGCAAGCGGCGCACGTATTTGTGGTACCCAAGTCAATTCCAACAACTGTATCGCTCATTTTGCTAAAACAAAAAAATCATCAGAGAATAGTGGTAACAAAACTACGCACGATTTAACGTTATTTAATCTTTAAACTCGAAAAAAGAACATTGATTAGAGATAAAGAGATAAAAATGTTCAGATAAAACGATAACAATGTATTTCTCAGTTCATATTTTGGGTCTTCTATTGTATCATAAATAGCAATTTAGCAAGTGCTCATATCGAGCAGGTAGGTACTAAAAAAAAGTAACTTTCAATTATAATGTTGAAAGTTGTTAAGATCAAAAAATAAAAACTCAACGTCGCTCTAATTGTCGACGGTTATACAACTAATACCATTTTGGTATTCGTGAAATTCTAAAAAAATATTTTATATCATGTAACGGCAACTGTTACGTTTCTTTTTTAACACAATATAAAATAGGAGATGTTTGGAACATCTGAAATATCATCAATAAAGATGTTAAAGAGCAAGGGTCCCAATACGGATCTCTGCAATTTAATTTTGAATCTGCAAAACCGAATGTTTTGAAGTCTTCCAGTCGTTTTAAAGTTATGATAAGCATGATAAATGTTTAATCAAAATATATTTGCTTGTCTTCTCCAAAAAATTGGTACAGTTAGCTCAAAATTTTGCCCAATAAATCCCACCTAAAATATTCAAAATATGATGAATCTATACATTTATCATTCCACTCATATTTTTTGGATTTGCTTATGCAGGGTGACTCAAAAAAATTAATGAATGCGTTAATTTATTTTATTGATTTAGTTTTCCAGATTTTTGAAAAAAAAACATTTTACAATTTAATTTAGAATCTGTAAAACCAAATGCTTTGAAATCTTGAAGATGTTTTAACGTTATCATAAGCATTGTAAATTTTTCATCAGAATGTATTTGCTTATCCCCCAGAAAAAATTGATCACGTCACCTCAAAATTTTGCCGAATAAATCCTAGCGAAAATGTGCAAAATATGATGAGTCTCTACCTGTGATTTATTATGCATATTTTTTAGAATTGTTTATACAGGGTGCCTTCAAAATTAATGAATGAGTAAATTTATTTTATTGATTAAATCAGGAGCGGCTAACTCCATTTTCCCGAAAATTGAGATGCGTGTCGTTGCAGTTTAGTGACAACATTTTTGTAAAGGGGAAACTCATTATTGTACTTCAGGGGCGAGGATAATTTTGTCGAAGTAACATATGACCAATTTTTAACGTGACTAAATAGTTCAAACACCCATCATTCCTTAGTATTCAATCCTATAACTGTGCAAATATTAATACAAAATATGTTAATTTTTTTTTACATTTAAAACGATAGAGATATCAATATTTTTTATCCCTTTACATTAGGCTGCATTCCACTTAAATTGTAAATTTACCAGTATGAAATATGGCGAAATTTTTTGTCACTCACTGAAGAACCAGAAAATACCAACACAACTCTTCTGTAAAATGCTTGGGTAAAGTACTCAATAACGAATTCCTTTAAGAATTAGTAATCAGGCATTGCCAACCTTCAGACAAACTCCAAATAATATTCAGGCAAGAGACATCGAAACTGACAAAGTAAATATTACAAAGCTCTTTTTCATGCACATGAGGAACAAAAGTAAATGTTTTCCATGATACGCCTACCTGTTCTTTCGAATTTATTAAAGTTAATCTTGTTCTTGGAGTTTATTTCGTCACCACTACTACCAACCACCAACACACACACGCTTGTCTTCCGCCGTCATGTCAAACGTCAAACGTCAGTTAATTTTATCTGTGATTCTCGATTTTGTACATTACTACGTATATAACATGCGCGTCTAAAATAACGCGCCTCCTACATCGAACCTTTTCTGAGATAGACTATATGCAACTAACAATACCAATACCATCGTCTAATAAAGGACAATAATAATATATGACGCTACGTTCACGATGCTATGTGCTGTAGTGTTGATTACTGGTCTGTGCGTTGATTCCAAATAGGCTTTCACAGGTGTCGGTAAGGTAAAGATCATAGTAATGTGATTACTACTGATGCTGTTTATGAGTACTTTTCAAATTAAATAAACGTTTTTGTGTTGTGTCCAGTCTGGAACTCCACACTAGTTTATTACTGCATTTTTTTTGCAGAGGGGCACGTGCTACCCCAAAATCACAAACACACTGGACATAACAAAATAGTAATTTTCAATATTTAAAAAAATTATTCGGAAATTTGTGTCGTAATCATCAAAACTAATTTTTTTATCTCGTTCCATTTGAATAAAATGTATCAAAACTTATGTCGTGTCTTGGCTATATGATATGTTGCTGGTGAGTGCTGATAAAAGCGGAAAACAAATCATTAGTCATTTAGACCTTTTGTTTACACCGTTGCCATGGAAACCGTGCGTCTAGTATGTACCTGGAATCGTATCCTCGAAGAGTACCACTAGCAGTGGGTTTCATTTTCACTCTGCGCGACTGAAATTGTTTAATTTTAAATAAAAATAATAAATTCAGTTGAATATTTAATAAAAAACCGTCTTGTGTCTTACGACGGTAAAATGTTTGTGAAAATTTAAAGAGAGCTATCCCCGATTTATTAATAAAAAAAGTGTTGATTACAAAACAAATATGGTAAATTTTTGTGGATGTGAGGTTGTGAAAAAAATTGGTCGAAGGTTATTTCGACAGAACTTCCCTCGCTCCTGAAGTGAAGTAGAAGAAATCCAACTTTTTGATTGACTTATAACATTTGAATTCGCGAATTTTATATATTTTTTTTATGATAACCCTTGTAAGGCAAAATAAAGGTAATATGTATGTAATATGAAAGTAGAAGTAAAAAAGTTGCCATGCTTACAACAACTTTAAAACATCTGCAAGATTTCAAAGTATTCAGTTTTGCAGCTCCTGAATAAATCAATAAAATAAATTCACGCATTCATTAATTTTTTTGAGTCACCTGTATACGCAAATACAAAAAATATGAAAGGAATGATAAATTACAAGGACAGACTCATCATACAATTTAGATAGGATCCATTCGGCAAAATTTTGAGCTGACGTCATCAATTTTTCGGATGGGATAAGTAAATATATTTTGATTAAACATTTATCATGTTTATTCTAACTGTAAAACATTTGTATGATCGCAAAGCATTTGGTTTTTCCAAAAATCTGGACGTTTCGGTTAAAAACTTAACACGGATTCGTAAACTACACGTGTATGACTATGTTATTTGATACAGTTTAAAACCCATTCATATACAGTACACAATTTGAGGTGACATAATTACATTGTTGGTGCGGATAATTAGGCAAAGTTTGGTTAGTGTTTTATCACCTATATGATATTCGTAGTAGGTACACATATAAAATTTGACAAAAATCGGTGCGGTAGTCTCGGAGATTATCTAACAAAAATCGACACAGACGGCTAGACGGAAACGGGAGACCCATTTTTTTTGTACTCTAGGAAAAATACAATAGCAGCCCAATGGAGTGTTATTTACACCACTGGTTTTTACTTTATGGAGTTTATCAGAAAACAAACAACGCAAACAATTTTTATCATTTTCCGGACACGGGATTTGTTGGAATGTTCTTTTTAGATGTGGCTCCATTTTCTGTGTAAACTAACCTAGCCTTCAAAATTGACGAATGTTACAGGGCCAAAATGGGCATGAAGTATGTGACATAAAATATCTACAATTGCGGAGTAGAAACCACGTTGTTCTCATCCGTGAGAGTATCGATTCTTGTTCATATTTTTTAATAAAAGCAGATTCTACTACATCAATAAAAAGTACCGACCTATTTTAATGCCAATTGTACTTACCTATATAAATTGCTTCCTTTATTCTTACGTGAACACATAGTTTAAATAATTAATGACAACACTGCAGAATTATTTTCAGATTGAGTTTGTAAGAAGACACAAATCACAGACTAACCAATACGCTGTAAGACCAAACACTAAAATAAAACAGGATGCGGCTCTCTGGGTCTGGACAAATGGGTGCAGGTAAAAGTCCACTAATTTTAAAATAATATGCCGTTCTTAGGTGAGGGTTAGTATTTACCATAGACAAACTCAGATAAGATGCGTAGAAACATATGTCTGGACATTGAGTGAATGTAAAAATGAAAACCACGCATCACGTGGCTCTGTTTATGGAAAGTTGCAGTTGCATGTGGTCTACCATAGAAATAATATTATATGGAAGTAACTTAGAGAGAGACGCGCGTTGTCAACACAGTGGGACAGAGATAGGGCTCTCTGGGTGGCAAGACATTGACGCGAAACTGCAGAGCACTGTGTTTCTGAAGCTTTCTTTCGTGCTGGCGCATGGTGTTTGAAGGTGTATTTTTGCAAATTTACGATTTTTAGGCTCAAGTTACCTTATTTAAATGTCTACGGTCTTCTTAAGTTGTATTTTATCGGACTATTTGTTAAACATCGTGAAATCGTGTTGTGGTTATAATTGCATAGAACGTGCAAAGAAAGCAATCCTGTTTCATTTCATAGGTAATAATCACATACACAGACGAAGGATTTCGTAAATAATTTAAAAATTTTGTTAGATTCCCTAAACATTCCGAGTTACGAAAAAACTGATTATTGCTACAAAAAGAGGGAATTTTATATCTATTGATTATTGTTTTAGTTATTTGTACATGGATTTAGAAAATAGATTTTAGTACAAAATTCCACACAATTTAATATGTTTAATTTAATTAGACATCCTGTCACTTTTATCGAAACTTTAATTAATTACTTTTATCCTAAAAACTTCAGAATTACCAATGGACATACACAAGATTAGTTAACTTGTAGAAGATTATTGTACTAAGTGAATTCGTAATATATTGCAGATTCTGTATACATATAATTTTATTAAAAGACTATCTCCACCACTTAACATGATTTTTGTTGTTTCACATTACACATTATTTTAATGTAAACTGTAAAAATATAGTTTTCATAGTTTGTTATAATTGATTGTTTGAACAAATTCGCAAGAAAACGTATTAATTCCCGTTCAAATGAAGCGTTTCTTGCCACCCAGCACGTGATACGTGGTCAGCCGTCCTTTCCCCACTGATGTATAACGGCTATAGCTATTTCTTTCTTATGTTGATTACACTCGCTCGCGTATGGAAACGTATACAAGGCTCCATCCACTCCTTTATTAGATCAATGGTGGTCCACCATTACTCATTTCTGTGAGATGAACTCCTTTGAACGTTGTTTTCTTTATTCTGTGTTGTGGTTTGACTCGTTTCAAGTGTTTATTGGACAATATTTATGCGTTATTCGTTTATTCGCTTATAGAATAAAATTCCTATTGTTACTAGGAACTAGGTAAGTACTTTAATAATAATGTGGAAAGAAAATTGCCTAGTGCGTTTTGTAAAATTTCACCCACTTTCCATTTCTGTATTTAATAGACTATTTATTACACACTGTTGATTTTAACCAATTTTACAGGAACATCAAAAATAATTAAATCAGAGTCACTGGGAGGAGGAAATAATTATAAATTAATATTGGTTTTTGATTTGAAGACTACAAAAGCACAAGTACCTACGTTATTTCTTCTAGTTATTGTTTGGTAAGTGTATAAATAGCTACCTATCTAATATTTTAAAAAATGTTACTTCATTACTTACTTCATTTCAATGAATTTCTGGTATTAATAACATTTTATTCTTGCAGGTTACAAACCCATTCTACAATATTACAGACGTGTGTCAGGAGGTAATTAGTATTATTATATTCTTTAGTAATATTCAGTTAGATTATTTGGTTGCGATTTTTCAATATGACAAAACAAATTGCTAGCTACAAATGTAGATACCCATTATGTACAAGTGCATATTACAGAGGCAATCAAAATAAAACTTTTTTTACATTCCCGTCTGTAGAATGTGTTAGAAAACAATGGTTTGAAGCTATGAACCATCACTTAATTAAAAAGTTGAGTACTCTGCCACAAAAATGTATTTTTTCACTAGCAGCCATGACGCATGCAAATGTCGACTCACTTAGAGGTAGCAAATTCAACTTTTGCGACCACCGGTTCAAAAAGAAAAATTGAGGTTATGTACGCAATGTTTGATGTGATTATTTCTTAAAAAATGAACAAATGTGTGCTACAAACATTACTTGAGTATACGTATGGTAGTTGGTGGACGATAGAAGATAAAATGATTAACTCAGCGACAAGTATAAACGGTTTTCTTTGTGTTGAAGAATTAAATCAAGTTTGATTAGAAATCAAAACAAAATCATGTTGCGTCAAAAAATTGAACGTTTATTTTTTCAGTTTATTGTTTTATGGTTTCTACTAGTGAAAAAAATAGTATATTAACCACGGTTGCAAAGCCACTTCTAGACCTCGCGCTTCAGAGCCCTCGACGCTGCGCGTCTCGGGTTCTAATTTGCGCTCGGTCTAGAATGCTTGGCTCTGCAACCTTGGCTAATAATATACTATTTTCTACCGCCCACGTTTTTTGGTTTTCTAATAGAGCTATTAACGCACGCAAATGACGTCACAGCAGTTCGTTAATAGCGGATAGGCGTCCTTTAATAGATCTGGTGTAATTTAGATCGGTAAGATTGGTAGCAATGACGAGAAATGTCAGGTGAATGTCAGTGGCAAATCTAAACTTAAAATTTCCCACGTTTCCGGACGCGTAACTTCTTCGCAAGACATTTTAACCAATTTTAAATTACAAAAACTCGAATTGATTCGAATTACAATTGTTGTTGTGAAAATTCGAACCTCAAATATTTCGTGGTTAGTGCCAGACCAACTCATCACCAACCACGACAAAAGTCCCCAGATTAAAAAAAATGCAAATTTCAATTAAATTTTGGGAAAAAACGTGTGCGATAGAAAAAATAGTATAAATAACTCGTTCATAAGGCCATCAATATTTGCCTTATGAAACTCGTTCTTTAATATACTATTATGTGGATATCATTTTTCTGACACTGCTTTTACAAGT